ACATAAATGAATAAAAGAATGTTATGTTCGGATGCATAATTTAAAATGCGTTGTTATACAACTATAATGAGGAAGAAGGATCCGGAAATAACTTTCTACTCCTTCAAAGATTCGCGGGTCTAGCATAATTTAATTCAAAGCGTGGTCGTAAGGCTTTCTTCTAAAGAACGAGGTCAAGTAATTAAGGAGGTCAAGGGTAAACAGCGGAGCGGCGAGAATAAGTCTGTGAAATCGATAAAGCGTTGTCAAACGTTGACGAGCGCGAACGGGGATTTATAGCGACACCCGTCGCATTCAACAGCATCGAAAAGAACAGTGGAGCAAAGAGCCATAAAGCGGCCTTCGGACCAGGAGTGGTTCGGAATCTGCGGGTTTCACAATTTTTCTACGTCTCCGCGAGTAAAAGCTTCGAATAAATTACGCCCTCTTTAGAAATTCCCTTTCGCGGATTTTGCTGTGAATGCAAACGCCATATCAAGTAAGAATCTTTCATGCGACGCAACCGTCAGAGAAAGTACCGCGCGACAAACACGGCTGTTCGTTCCCCTTTAACTTCTGCTCTTCTATCCGCTCAGATCTACAATTAATTAGAGTAATTGTGAGTAACGTGCTGCCCCGATGAGCAATTTAATTAACCTATATTTAATATTGAATTCTACGGCCTGCTTCGTGAACTCGACACATCAGATAATTTACGATACGATCTTCTATCTAACGGGCAAAGTTCGATGCCTTGTCAATTTTCTCGACACGCTAGAAATTGCACTTCATGAAAAAAAAATTTAAAACACAGTAAGTAGATAATATTCCAATTTATAAAGTTTCTAAAATTTAACATCTCTATTAAATATTTTAAGCGAATAATTACTTTTTCCTAACTTCGACATATGTTATGACATATACGTAGATAAAGGCGGTTGCCAGAGACGTGAATGATTCATTTAACGTAAATTAGCTAATCGTTATCACGCACGGCGAGTGAACCGGCAATAAACTTCTCGCGGTGTGGCATCGCGACATCGCGCGTCGGCGTGGTACGTCCGGACGGAATGTGACACCGCGGAAGTTTGTCGGGCAGAAGTTCCCGGAATGTCGTGAAGCTAACTAATCCGGTCGGCGGTAACGTCGCCGGTTCTTAGATCGATATAAATCAGTTTCTAGATACGTCCCTCTATTACAAGCCGTTCGAAGCTTGTTCCGGTTCCGTTCCGGTTGCACGCTCATTCCTCGATCGACTTCCGGGGCCCCATTAACCGGCAACTATATAAGATCACGAAAGCGCATCGCCACCCGTGAAAGTTATGCGATGGCAGCGGCTCACGAAAGTGGATATCTGCCTCTTTCCGAGGCCGTCGTTGAAGTTAAATTAGAGAACGAGGCTGAACGAGAG